ATTGGACTTCGTTTTCGTTGTTCATTATTTATAAATCATGGAAGGGTACAAGTGTTTAGTTTCCATTATTAATAAACCATAGACTGTGTAAAAGTGTGCAGTTTTCATTGTATATAAACCATGGGGAGTCAGGTTGGCGTAGCGGTACTTTCCTCGCCTTCCACCGCTGTGACCCGGGTTCGAATCCCGCCTGGGCCAATATGTGGATTGGGTTTTCAGTCCCTGCCTGATTCCGTGGGTTTTCCCCAGAATATTCTTCTGGGCTTTTCCTCCCACCTCTAAAACTGTAACTTCTTCTCATTGTCTTCTCTCCACAGGTTTCATCAGGCTTGCGAGCTACAGTGCCTATGGCGCTTTTGAGGAATCCTTGGTTTCATTACCAGAAATGATTAATAATAATAATAATAATAATGAACTTGCACATCGTTGATCGCTGTTCATTATTTATTAACCATTGAAGTGAGCAAGTGTGTAGTTTTCATGGTTTGCAAACCATGAATTTGCACACCTTGCCAGTTTCTGAGATTTGTAAACAATGACTTTTATGTTTTTCATGATTTATAAATCATAATGTTGATACAAAGAGTGTTTTAATGGTTTGTAAATAATATAACAGTTTTGATTACAAATTTGGTGCGTGGTTGCTTTTTGTAGTCACAAGAAGCCTATTTCACATGTGTCGAAAGGTCAAAGGTCACACTGGCTGAAACAATAGAAATTGTCACACCATGAGTTCGTTTTTCCCATTGAGGACAGCAGAGGATGTAATTGACAAACCAGCAGCACAGAAAATGAAACGCAGGACGGCAAAATTTGTATAATCAAAATAATACTTAAAGGGAATGTACATCATTGGCTTTTGCTGTAATTTTCAGAAATGAACAATTTGAGGGGTTAGTATAATAGATCAAATTTTGTTACACTGACATATTTGAAGTTTTTTCTTCGAAAATGCTGGAAAAACCAAGAAAAACAAAAAAACGTTCAAGTAGTCTGGTTCCCTGACTCCACTAAAGATAAAATGGATCAATTTCCAGATGCCGGAAAATGGTAAGGTAAGGGAACAAGTCTAGCTGGCCTGCACCCGTTCAGGAATATATAACCAATAGCAAACAAAATTTGAACTGAATAAAAAATTGTAAATTTTGAGCAGTAGTTGCACAATAGTTGGGTTTTTCCAACGGTGGTCGGCCGACCACCGCTGGAAACAGATACAAAAATGCCATTTTCTTGAAAATGACTTCACACCAGGTGCCATTATTTTACAGGATGCTTTAGACTGTCATTTACCAACATCCTAGTAAGGTATTTCGTAAAAACTTGTTAGTTTTATTTTTCGATGTTTGCAAATGTTGTATATTCCCTTTACTATTTGATTTATTCTAAGCCAACAATTACCCCAATTAATTTAATAACTATCTACTTAATAAAAAATATTTACAAAAAAAAAAAAAATTACACTTAATCTTGAGCTCACGCGACTGATTTGTGAAACCTTCAAATACTGGTAAGTTGACTGCTTGGGTTGTATTGTGACCTGTACCTCAGAAGTAGCACACCAGGTGTTCAAAAGGTCCGTGTCAATGCATTGACTACTTAGCTGTGGCCGCGTGTAATTGTTCAAGTACAGAAGATCTGGTTCCAACAGTTCTTTGCTCTGTGGTCTCACCAATCCCACGTCCACTTGGAAGTTGATTGGATCAGGTCAGCCCAGCTGCTACGGGTTCAGATCACCTCGTCAGCAGGTAAGTCAGATGTCACTGCTTCGCTTGACTCAGCTCAGGTAGGTAAGTGTATACTGCACCGACAGTCCACACAGGAATTGGTTAGTTTATTCTAGCCGACTCGCTCCACACAGGAATCGATTCGTCATTCACGAGTCCAATCTACACAGGATTCGATTCTTGAACTTAGTTGTCCACTGAGGAATTTTGACCTTGACCTCATGAAGTTCCCCACATGAAAAAAAGCCCTTGAGAAAAAGGTAAGAGAAAAAACATAATTCACAGTTGCTAAGAATTCGTAAATTGTTTAAGGTTTAAGCAAATTAACTTCATGTAAATTAGGCCAATGGCCCGGGATCGTCCTGCATAGTCCCCTTTTGTTGCAACAAACTTTTGTTCCCGCACTGGGACTTCGCGCTGGAGTCCAACCCTCATTCCTTACCAGTGGAATGGACATTGGAATTTCCTGCCAGACTTAAAAGCTCTGGAATTTTCGCCGTTCTGGAGATTCTGAACTGCAGTTTGCTGAGGTGTGGTCAAGGGACTCGCTCTCTGGCGATGCCATGCCGCCCGACCGTCTGGCTTGCTGAGGCCGCTGACTTGGCCGTGCCTTGCCCGTTGCCGTCTGCACGGGGCACGGTCCCTACCACCACCACGGCCAGATTGACCGCTTACTTGGCTCTCCTTGGCTTGGGCCAGTGTCTTGGTGCCGTTCCCGCCGGTGCCACGCCCCTCTGCTATGGCACTTCGTCGACTGGTCAGCTAGCCCAATCGTTCCCCTGATCTGGTCTACACCCGTACCGTCCATCACAACAAGCGCCCGGTTTCAGAGGTCGCCGATCAAGACGCAAGTCGTTATGACAAGAACTCTCTCTCGCGACTACCGAACTTTTCCGGCAGACTGCAGTCCAGGGTTCCACCCTCTGGAGGTACCTCCCCTCTCACCAATGGCCACCCGTATGATATGATTTACTTGATTTGTAATGTATAATTAATTGCTTTCCCATCTGCTTAGTTAATCTTGTTTATGTGTGTTAATTTGTGAATTGTACATAATTAAAATAATTCTAATTTCATTTCCAAGAACTCCTTGATTCCGATCCTCATTCATTTGAGTGTTCCTTTCCCTTTATTTTAATTTTGTCTGTTATGTTGTCTGCTTGGATTTGAAGTGACTTCGTAACACAGTGAAAATTAAAGTGCCTACCGAATAATGATCAAATTTAAATTCGATCCATGCTCAAGCTCAACACAAATTACACATTTCTGGAATGAAAATTACATTCAAAATCTTCAAATTTTTTTACAATTTATCTTACTTCATCAACTATATTAATGTTAATGAAAATAGACTTGATTACAAAAGGCAACTCTAAACATCAATCCCCAAGATTAACTTCAAAATGCACCATTTTTGGAATATCACTATTCTCCCAAAATATTCAAAACTTCTGTATTATGCACTTCTGTCTGAATTGTAGTGAATTAAGTAAGATGAAATAAAAACCTACAGTTTCTGGATAAACTGGCTATGATTCATGGGCCACACCCTTCTTCTTCTTCTTCTTCCAGTAAGTACATCCCTCCATAGTGGAGTATTGTCGTACTTGGGTGCAAAAGTGCTCGGTCACGGGAACAAATATTAACGAAGAGTGCAGTAAACTAATTTAGAACTTGGTGCAAGTAAAAACGATGCCCCTGTGGCATAACTAGCGGAGGGTGAGAGGTTTCAAGCTAGTCCTGGTACACACAGTACACTGTACATACTCCACACAAGAATATGACTGCACACCAAGTGGAAGGCTATTATAGCAGCGCCTTGGGTGTGCACATGCATGCATCTAAGATACAAAATCACTCAACCAAACTTAATTTGCATATTAACTATTTACATATCAAAGACTTAACTATGCCACTCTTTGGGGCAGACTCATTTCTGGATGGGGGAGAACAGTAATTAATGCACTAAAATAAGTGTGTAAGTGAAAATAGAATAATAAATTAATTGAATTTCCAAACACATTGTGACAGAAATGTTGTCAGCACGATAACTTGAGAAATACTTTACATAGGAACTTCAAATTTGGGTTGTGGACTGCTCTCGGTAATCCTAAGAAGCCTATTACATTTGAGGCTGAAATAGGTTGACACAAAGTGTGTAATCAACTACCTTTCAGCTTGAAATTCAGTGTAAATCGTAAGGAAAGCTATGTAAGCACTCTGGATGCACTTGTCATTTTAAGACATTTATGGAGAGTTCCCATGTCTGTTTTTTTTTACAAAATTGAATTGTCTAAGGGGCCGCCCATAAAGTATGTATGCATGAAATGCCAACTTTTTAGGATCCCCCCTCCATTTGCGTACGCATTCCAGTGTAAACATGTACTGTACATGTGCATAACAAAGCATTACGAATGCGCTTTGCTTGCTGGCTACGCGAAGCAGTCTTTTTATTGGTGCGTGTGTTAAAGGTACAGTCCACCATTTGTAATATGTGCATTTTGTTTGTTTGAAGCAACAAAAGTGCTCAAAATCTAAAGAAGTGTGCTAAACAACTAACCTGATGAAGTTTCAACTCGTTTCAGCTGTATATATTACGATAAAAACAACATTCGAGGATCTCGATTTCAAATCAAAAGTTGCTGAATCATGTTTTGAATTGGGCCTGAATTCAGCATTCGAGACACATTCTCACTGAGCCGATTGCAGCTATGCGATGTCGCTCACCGATACGACAAATTAAAGCAACCGCGCGTGTGTGCGTCGTGTCAATGCTTCTGCGCGCTTCGCCGAATAAAAAACCCGAACTACTCGCGGAAATTTCCAACACCTTCTTTCCTTGATTTCTTCAAAATTACAGCTTGCCAGAAAGGATAACTTCTCAGGGAGTTTAGTCCCCTTACTATCTTTCAACCAAGTATGTTTTTCAACAATAATTATATCAGTTACTTTTTGGATAGCTGCAAATGATGGACTATAGCTTTAAATTGAAGATGGCTATCATCGCGATGCACTGTGAATGTGCCAAAATTGCGTCGATTCACATTGCAGTAAAATAAACAGTAAAAAAACAGTAAAATACATTTCCACTGAAAAATATTGTTCATATTTTAACAAATATTGTCATTAGATATGAGAGAAGTAAGTTTTAAGTTGCAGAAGGTGTTTTGGAATGATAAAAGAAATAATCGTCCTGTAAAGATGTTATACATTCTATGTAATTATTTACTGTTAACATTTATTGTCATACATTTTTCTCTCCTCCACTCCCTCCTGCAGTGAACCTGGTGGTAGTGTGTACCGGTACAACATGAAGGGCATCATGGTTATGCGAAACCCCAGCATGCCAGATATTGTATTTCTGACTGCTGATAAAGAATTTGTCGGTCACATGAACCAACTTGCCATTTCGAAGAAACTGACTACGGTAAAGACAAACATTCTATTTTATCATTGAAACTCTACCCTTGCCCCCCCCCTTTCAATTCATCAATATCCACCAGAATATTTTAAGCATTTTGCTGGCTGCATTTTGAGGATGAAAATCCAGGTTTAATTTGCTGAGTGTTCAGCAAAGCCGTAATACACCTGCACACCATCACACATTTAACCAACACTTTACAAAGGATACCACCTGCCACATAATAGGGTATGTGTGTCCAACATGAGGGAAGAATTGAAATTGGTCTTGATTTGGTAGTGTATGAAAGTCATGAAATACTAGAAGTTGTATCGATGGCTGACGTAATAGATAACTGTTGAATATGAAAAGTGTGTAGACGTTCTGAGATGTGGTTGTACTAAGGTAAATTTAAACAAGCTTACATCCATCCATGACTGTCGATTCTTTTTAAATTAAAAGTGGAGGCTGATAAAAAAAAGGTCCTCCATTTTTCTTTAAAATTGAGTTCAGTTTAAATGTTTGATAAAATTATGTGAATGGATTTTAACGTTTAAACGTGAAAATGACATCACTTGACCAATTAAGCACGATCCTATCTAGTATGCAGACTGTTGTCACTGCGTTTACACTGGATCCCGCAAGGGGGATCTAACCGGGCAAGGAGGATCGAAGTCTGCTTAACCGCAAGCGTAAACGCAAGGTGGATCGAGCCATTGGCTGGATCCAAGGGCGGATCCAGAACACAATTTTTTGGGGGGGCCAAAAAAAAAATTTTGGTCCCCCAAAAAAGTGGGTCAAAAAAAATACGGCGTGGGGTTCGGGGCCCACTTAAGGGCCCCGAAATTTTTTTGGATTCTAGATGCTCTGTGGTGCGATCTGAGGCAATTTCTGACCACTTTAACCAATGTTTTTTTTGAGGAAAAGATGGTAGTGTACTCATTGCCTGCCTTTATTGCGATGTCACATAAAAAAAAAAAAATGGTTTCGTTTTGGGGGGGGGGGGGCCATGGCCCCCTTTGGCCCCCCCCCCCTGGATCCGCCCTTGGCTGGATCGGATCCCCCTTTCTGAATCCCCCTTTCGGGAAGGGTCGGACCCTGCAATTGCGAGATCTGACCCCCCAATTGTTGAGTGTAAATGCAATTGGTGGATCGGACCCCACAAGGTGACACGCCGAAATAACTCTTGTTTTCGTTAAGATTTCTTTTTTCCTTTTTTAGCTGTTTCGGTGTACACACCTAAACAGCTCTTGTTTCATTCCATTGAGGTAGGAATTTAGTGGTATTTAACTTCAATTTATTTAGCGGTAATTTAACTCCAAAGAAATTATAAAATTTACTGGGAATATGAAAAGATGTAGAGAATCAAATCACGAATTTAAACAACATAAAATAGGCTTATACTCGGACTCACTAATAAATGAAACCCAAAACATAATTATTTGTGTGTCTTGCCACAGCTTCAAGCAATTTATTGAAACCTACATTGCCATATACCGAATTTGTTTGGGCAAGCTGGCATCAGGAATAATATATATGGGCTACCAGGCCCAAGCCTATCAACCACATTAATCAATGGACACCCAGGTCCAATGTACATGTACATCAATTGCCATTTGGCACCCAGGCCAATTAATGGATGCATGGGAACCCAGGCCCAGGAGTAATCACGCCAGAATCAAGTTATCTGGTCAACATTTTGGGGACAGCCATGGTTGTGCTATGGAAGATACAGCACACCTAAGCCCCTGGGTACCTAAGAGAGAGTGGTTGACCCCTTACAAAGTTCACATCACAGTGTATTATAACACTCATCAATATCCGTAACAATAAACCATAACAATAATGATACATGTCCAATCATGTATGTATTAGGAGATGGCTGTCTTCAAATCCTGTTAAAACGCCACTTTTAATGAAAACCTGCAAGAGAAGGCAGGAGCTGGGGTGGTGGTGGGCAAATTGATCCAGCTAGCTCAAAGTGCTGTGACAGAATGACCCACACAGCACATGCAGTACATGTGCATGCATTGTTTCACTGTTGCATATCATTAGTGCTTCAATCTATCTGCTGATTGGTCAAAACTCTTGGCTATGATTGGTCAAAACTCTTGGCTGTGATTGGTCCAATCTATGAATAATTAGTGCTAGGATCCTGCTCAGGATCCCAACTTTTGCAATACCCCAAGTTTTTAAGTGTTTTAATTGCCACAGATGGGGGCTAATAGAATGTAAAAAACAGAGCAAATATGCCAACAATTATGAAAGCTGTTGGAGACAGCAAAAATAAATACACAGTACAGTGTTACTTGTAAAATAAACTAACTTTTAACCACGAGAAATAGCAGACCTGTGTTTGCCAAGTATAAAGGATTTTGTCAAAGTACATGCATTGTGACAAAATCTCATCAACAGATATTTAGCTGTTTCGGTGTTCACAGTGACGTCATGATTACGTCATCATGGATCACGTGACGTCATCTTAAATGTGCAAACTTTAGGACCCTATATCTAAAAACTGTAAGTCGGATTGGGTTGAAACTCGATATGTAGGTAGACCGGGATGTGTTGTAGGCAAAAATGGAGGTGACGTCATCAAACAAACTCATATTCTAGTGAAACCTAACCTTTGTAAAGACCCCATAGTGAGTTTTTGTGGCCGAAAAGTGACATTATGTTTACATCATTATGGGTCACGTGACATCATCTTAAATGTGCAAACTTTAAGACCCTACATCTAAAGAACTGTACGTCCGATTGGGTTGAAACTCAGTATGTAGGTTGACCGGGAAAGGTAAAAATTGAGGTGATGTCATCATGACGTTATCGTGTGATTAAAATTGAGGTGATGTCATCATGACGTCATCGTGTGATTATATATCGATTCTTGAAGTTTCGTACCTTTAAGCCATATCTCACGAATGCAATATGCTGACTTCAAAATTCTTTCTGTATTATGTTTGTTAGGTAACAGGTATGTTCACAAAATTGTGAAAATTATGTGACGTCATTATGACATCATTCAAAAGGCGTTGTTTTTTTTAACATGTATAAGGGAATGTCCGATCATCATGAAACTTGGTGGGTGGGTAGATACTAGTACAAGTACATAAATTTTGAAATGATTTGTTACGATTTTGGGGCAACAATGCCAACAAAGTGCATATTAGCATAGTTTTTAGCGTGACTCGGCGTGAATTCGCGTGGGTCTTGGTATCGACCAATGGAAGCCGGCAAAAAGGGCGATATTTCGTGAAGGAGGTGATACTGCACACTGTGATAATTTTTCACTGCACACCATAAAGGATAGGAACCTTATTAATATTCTTGAGGCTTGAAAATGTTGACAGATATTGTAGTGAGGTACCGGTACCTTAGTGAAAAAATCGTGACACAGCGAACGAAAGCCCTTTTTTTTCACCAAAGCATCTCCATGGTATGCCTTTTCGAAAAAAAGGCGGACGCAAAAAATTGGATGATAGGAAGGGCCAGTATGATGTCATTATGACGTCATCAGCTAATTATTACATGAAAAAATATAAATTGATAATAATCTTCAGAACTACAAGCATCACAACAACAAATGTGGTATCAAATTAAAGGGGACAACAAGATCTTTCATTTGAGTGGTATGTCATTGGGATGGAATATTAAGGGTGATTTTGTGAGTCAAACAATATTTTTTTGTCAAAAAACGTTTGTTTGTTTTGCTAAAATCATGGATTTTGGTTAGTCACTTTGACACCATGTGTGGTATTGTGAGATGTTGTTTTTAAGTCAGAGAGAAAGGTTAACATTCTATGCCAAAAGAGTTTTTGTAGTTGATTATTAGTATCATAAATATGTTTAAACTTGTTCCAAAGATAGGTGGAAAAGTGAGGTGCCTTATAGTGAGGTACATTAGTTACCAAAATACTAAGGATCGTTACACGATAAACAAAAGCTCCATTTTTTTCACCAAAGCTTTGCCAATGTGTTACGATCAAAAATAGGATAGGATGCAAAAATCAGATGACAGGAAGGGTACTCTATGACGTCATAATGACGTCACAATAAACTACCGAGCTCGTACAATAATTAATTGTAGAAAATAAGGTCGTGAAGCATTGTAATGAGATTCCAAGTCATTAATTTGGCATTTTGAGGGTCAGGGAATTGAAGAGTGATATAATCGGTGACATATTAGCTGATTTGCTGTTGCAGTGACGTCACTATTTTCATATTTTCTTGAAAAATCTAAGCATTTTTGATTATTGACAAAAGTGATACAATGACGGTATTTGTCATGCACAAAATAAATTGTGCGGCTCCTTGAAATTGGTCTTTACCACATCCATTTGTTTTGACCATTTACTATAGCTGGAAGACGTAACGTTCTTCTTATAAGTGTTGTTTATTACGGGTAATGAGGTATGGGTTAGGAGCCAGACAGAAAGGAACGTGTTTACCTGAAATAGATTAACAGAGTGGCCGGAAATGGTGATGGTACGTCCTTCAACAATGTATTACAAACACAATAGTGCAGCAAGTCATGTCATGCAGTTTGTAAAGGTTTTTAGTTTGGGACGTGAAAAAGACAACCAATTATTCATGATGCACAAGTACAAGTGTGTTTCTCCATCAAATCAAAGATACTTGAGAGGGGAAGATAGGACAGCATGTATCTAATTGTACGGTGACCTCTGAAACACCATGACGTCATCAAAATGCGCTATGGGAAAGGGCGCCGCTTATGGCTGGTAAGTAAACATGCTCTCGGCTATACAGAACGTATGCGTGAACTATATGACAAAATAACCGTTAAAGACAAATACAACGAGAAATGAATCCAAAAAAGAAAGCAATGAGTGACATGATAAAAACAGCAGTTGAATATTTTGTCATGTTTATACGTCACAATACATTTCGTTATTGAGGGGATGAGAGGAAGTAAATCCAACCATATCATTTCAACTATATTTTTCTGAAGTTGAAATGGAACTAAGATCAATTGTGATATTACACTCCTCTGTTTTCAGATTTTATAC